TCCCACTCCCAAGGAATATCCTGGCTCTGGCTCTTACCCGATCCTGGCGCTGGCAGCTCCACCTCCGCTCTGGGAAATCAAGGGAAAAATCCATGATCCCTCCTTCCTTCCCACCCGGAGCAGGAAAAGCGGGAAGGGAGCTCCTGCTCCGGGTGCTGCCTCAGCTCAATCCCACCAGGATCCGGAGGGATCCAAGGTTCTGGATTCCCAGAATCCCGAGAGCTCCCAGAGCCGCTGCAGCATCCTGGGCTGCCATTCCAGCTGCTGCAGCCACCCCAACTTCCCAGCGGGATCCAGCCCTTGGCTGTGCCACGGAGACATTCCCAAAGAACCCCTTTCCCAGCCCCTGGAATTCCCTGGATTCCATCCCAGTCCTACCTCTGCCAGCTCCGGTGTGAGGCAGCTCCAGGAAAAGCCCCAGAACACCGGGAACGGCTGGAGAGGGAGGGAAAAATTAATGAGGCAGGAGAGCAATGAACCAACAAAACCCCGCTGGAAACGCCTCCGGTTAAAGATTAGACGGGAATGGGGAATGGGGAATGAGGAATCAGGAATGGGGAATCAGGAATGGGGAATGGGGAATGAGGAATAGGGAATGGGGAATGAGGAATGGGGAATCGGGAAATGGGGAATGGGGAATGTGGAATGAGGAATGGGGAATCAGGAATGGGGAATGGGGAACAGGGAATGGGGAATGGGGAATCAGGAATGGGGAATGAGGAATGGGGAATGGAGAATGGGGAATGAGGAATGAGGAATGGGGAATGGGGAATGGGGAATGAGGAATGGGGAATCAGGAATGGGGAATGGAGAATGGGGAATGAGGAATGGGAAATGGGGAACGGGGAATCAGGAATGGGGAATCAGGAATGGGGAATCCGGGGCTTCCCAGCACTCTGGAAGCACCAACGTGCTGCCTCAAAGCTCCACAGAGTCTGCAGCCCCCGGATCCCACAGAATTCCTGCGGTTTTCCATGGTGGAAACAGGACCTGAATCCAGAGAAGGCTCCAGGAATTCTCAGAGCCCTGCCAGGGCCTGGAGGGGCTCCAGGAGAGCTGGAGAGGGACTGGAGGGACAGGACAAAGGGAATGGATCCCACTGCCAGAGGGCAGGGATGGATGGGAGATTGGGAATTAGGAATTCCTGGCTGGGAGGGTGGGGAGGGGCAGGTATGGAATTCCCAAAGAAGCCGTGGCTGCCCCTGGATCCCTGGAATGCCCAAGGCCAGGCTGGAATCTGCTCATGGAAGGATTCCTGCGATGGCCAGGGCTGGAATGAGATGAGTTTTGAGGGCCCTTCTGACCTGGAATTCTGGGATTCTGGGATTCTCGGAGGGCAAAGGAACGAGCCCTTCCAGAGGCACGAGCCATTCCAAAGGCTTGGGCTTTTCCAGAGGCCCCTCCCAGGTGCAGGATCCCGCCGTGCCCAGAGCCCCTGGATGGGATCCCTGAGCCTGGAGCACCTGGATCCATCCCAGCCCAGCCATTCCTGTGGCAGGGATCCCTTCCCCATTCCCTGCTCCTGGTTCCCTGTTCCTATTCCCCATTCCCTGCCCCAATTCCCTGTTCCCATTCCCTGTTCCCTGTTCTCAGTTCCCTGTTCCTATTCCCCATTCCCTGTTCCCCATTTCCTATTCCCTGTTCCCTGCTCCCAGTTCCCTGTTCCTATTCCCCATTCCCTGTTCCCATTCCCTGTTCCCCATTCCTTATTCCCTGCCCCTATTCCCTGTTCCCTGCTCCCAGTTCCCTGTTCCTATTCCCCATTCCCCATTCCTTGCTCCCGGTTCCCTGTTCCTATTCCCCGTTCCTCATTCCCATTCCCTGTTCCCCATTCCCTATTCCCTGCCCCTATTCCCTGTTCCCATTCCCTGTTCCCTGCTCTCAGTTCCCTGTTCCTATTCCCCATTCCCCATTCCTTGCTCCCGGTTCCCTGTTCCTATTCCCCGTTCCTCATTCCCATTCCCTGTTCCCCATTCCCTATTCCCTGCCCCTATTCCCTGTTCCCATTCCCTGTTCCCTGCTCTCAGTTCCCTGTTCCTATTCCCCATTCCTATTCCCTGTTCCCCATTCCCTATTCCCTGCCCCTATTCCCTGCTCCCAGTTCCCTGTTCCCTATTCCCATTCCCTATTCCCTGCTCCCAGTTCCCGTTTCCTGTTCCCATTCCCCGTTCCCTGTGGGAAGCAGGAGGAGGCTCCAGGCCCAGCCTCAGGCAGGAATTTGTGGTTTGGGAGGCAATGAGGGCAGTGAGTCACTGGGGCCGGGCCGGGCCTGCTTCCTCCTGCTCCTCCTCCTCCTCCTGCTCGGGCTCTTCCCAGCAGGGAACGGGAATGGGAATGGGAATGGGACAGGATGGGGGCCGTGCCCCCCTGCGAGTCACCTCTGCCAGCGCTGCGGCTGCAACAGAGCAGGGAACTCCTCCTCCTCTTCTTCCTCCTCTTCTTCTTCCTCCTCCTCCTTAATTGAGTCACTGGGGCCGGGCCGGGCCTGCTTCCTCCTGCTCCTCCTCCTCCTCCTGCTCGGGCTCTTCCCAGCCGGGAACGGGAATGGGAATGGGAATGGGACAGGATGGGGGCCGTGCCCCCCTGCGAGTCACCTCTGCCAGCGCTGCGGCTGCAACAGCTCCTCTTCCTCCTCCTCCTCTTCTTCTTCCTCCTCCTCCTCCTCTCCCTCCCGGCCCTGCAGCCGCAGCTCCCGGCTCACCGTGCCAGGCTTCCCTGGGGAATGTCCCCACCTGGCACCACTGCCACCCGCCCGGCCCTGTCACCTTGTCACCGTCCTCTGCCCATGGCACCTTCCCTTCCCTTCCCTTCCCTTCCCTTCCCTTCCCTTCCCTTCCCCATGGCACATCCCACCCCCTGGCTCATCCCTCGCCCCGTGCCAGCTCCAGCGGCTTTCCCACGGGCCGGGAATATTCGGGAATTCCCGATGAGCCCCGGACGCGTTTCCAGCGGCGCCGGGAGTGCGGGCCCCTCACCTTCCCTTCCCTTCCCTTCCCTTCCCTTCCCTTCCCTTCCCTTCCCCATGGCACATCCCACCCCCTGGCTCATCCCTCGCCCCGTGCCAGCTCCAGCGGCTTTCCCACGGGCCGGGAATATTCGGGAATTCCCGATGAGCCCCGGACGCGTTTCCAGCGGCGCCGGGAGTGCGGGAGCAGCGCTGGAAAACTCCGGGAGCGGCGCGGGCCGTGCCAGGACCGCTCCCGGCGGGACAACGGCGGCTTTGTGGGAGTTGTTGTTGTTGTTGCCGCTGGAATTCGCCGGGATCCGCCGGGAGCAGCAGCTTTTCCATCCCAAAAACCCGTCCTTCCCGCGGGACCGGGGATCCCAGACCCCATCCCGCTCCCGAGTGAAACCTCCCGGGAATTCCGCGATCCCCGCACCGGGAGCCGCGGGAGGGCCGGGAATGCTCCCGCTGCTCCGGCAACCCAAAATGTCCCATTCCCAGCCCCCTTCCCGCATTCCCGGGAACTTCCCGGGAGCCGACCCTCGGGATCCGCGGGAATGCCGGAGAGGGGAAAGCCGGGACTTACGGCGCTGCTCGGAGCCGCCGCTGGATGCGGCGTTTTCCAGCGCTGCCTCCAAATCCCGGGATTACTCAGCTGGGAACAAACACTGCCCACATGGAATTCCCGGCCGGGCGGGCGCGGCTTTTCCAGAGGCACGATCCCGCCAGGAAGCGCCCCCAGGGATGATCCCAGACAATTCCCAGGTTCTGGGAGAGAATGAACCCCGGCTCGTCCAAGGAAAAAAGGTTCCCAGATAAACCCGGAAATCAGCGCGGCCAAACGCGGCCGGGATCGGATCCAGCGGCGAGGAAGTGGAAAAAAAGCAGGAAAAAATATCAATTCCCAGCCCTGCCGAGCATCTCCCGCTCCCAGCGCCTCTGGAAAACTCCCGGAGCTCCTCCAGAGCAGCCTGGCAATCCCAGCCCTCCCGCCGCTGCTCATTCCCGGATTATTCCCAGCTGGATGGGAATGAATCCCAGCCCGGAGGGTTTCTGCTTCCCAAAAATTCTCTGCTTTTCCTGCAGTGTTGCGCTGGGAATGGCTTTCCCAAAGTTCGGAGAGTGGGAGATTCCAGCGGAGTGGAGAGGGATGAGCGGGATCAGTTCATTAAGTATTATTATTAATTATTATTAATTATTATCCCATAGTTACTCAGGAATTGGGAGAAGCGGAGCTGGGCAGGGCTGGTGGATTCCCAGCTCTATCCCGGGAAAGTCCTGGGAATTCCTGGGATTAACCCTGTCCTGCCAGCACTGGGACACGGCTTTTCCCTGGACACGGCTTCCTGGGGCTCTGGAATTCCCTTCCCACCTTCAGTGATGCTCCAAGGCTCTTTTCAATCCCAGCGTGCCAAGGAATGGGAATCACTCGGGAGAATCCTGGAATATTTTGGGTGGGATGGGCAGGGACACCTCCCACTACCCCAGGGTGCTCCAACCCGGCCTTGGACATTCCCGGGATCCAGGGGCAGCCGCAGCTTCTCTGGGAATTCCATCCCAGATGGGAATTCCATTCCAGACGGGAATTCCTTCCCAAGATCCATCTAAATCTCCACTTTTCCAGCCACTCCCTGTGTCCTGCCCCTCCATCCCTGATCCCAATCCCTCTCCAGCTCTCCCTGGATTCCCGGGAGGGGCTCTGGAATTCCCTGGAGCTGCATTTCCCCATTCCCAACACTGGGATCTTTTTAGTGACTGCTCCGTTAAAATCCTCACTTACCAAATCCCAAAAAACTCCAAAGGAGCTGGATTTACCAGGAATAATTCCCAGCAGGAATCCACCACTTGTGCTCCTTCCCTCAGCAAAGCCTTAATTAATGGGAAAAATCCACATTTTCCCACTTTTCCAGAAGAAAACCTCCTTAAAAGCACGACACCTCAAAGCCACCACAGGAAAAAAAACCTGGAATACATTTGGAAAATAAAATAAAAATCCCCAAATAAGGGAGACATCCCACGTTTTGTTTTTTTTTAAGATAAAAAAATTTATTTCCCAGTCTTAGAAAGCTTTCCAAGCATTCCCAATGTCCCATAGAAACGTAGGAGAACCTCTTCCCACCAAAAATTCCGGAGGGGCGGAATACAAAACTATCCTGTGCACATTGTGCTTAAAGGAGCGCCCTGCCCGGAGCATCCTGTAAACAAATTATTGCATATTTTCCATCGGGATCCTCGGGAAAATCCCGGAAAATCCAACAAAATCCCAGCCAAGCCACGCCCGGGGAGGAGGAGAACGGGAATGAGCGGCTTCCAGGGAATGCCTGGATTCCAGGGAACGCCTGGATCCCAGGGAGGGTTGTGCTTGTGTTGTTGGGGTGGGGGAGCCACGGAGAGGGGATCCCATGGGAAGAGCCAGCGGATCTCCGGGTGAAAATCTGGGATCGAAGCTGATCTGGGTCCCAAAGATCTCCGGGAGTTTGAAGATGGAAATGAACAAAGAAATCCTAAACTGGAATGAATTCCAAGAAGTTTTGGGGATCGGCTCCATGGCCAAGGGTCCTCTTCCAATGCACAATGGAATTTAAGGAGTATCAGGAATTCCCCATGGATTCTCCATGGAATTGCAGCCTCTGGTGGAGATTCCTGGAAGCTCCACCTGTGCTAAGGCCACCAGAAGGTGATGGAAGGACAGGAGGGACAACCTTGGAATGCCCATCCCAAACTTCCAGCGGTGTCCAAGGAGAAAGGATCCCATGGGAAGAGCCAATGGATCTCCAGAGGAAAATCTGGGACCAAAGCTGATCTTGGTCCCAAAGATCTTTGGGAGTTTGAAGATGGAAAATGAACAAAAAGATCCCAAATTGGAATGAATTCCATGAAGTTCTGGGGATCGGCTCCATGGTCAAGGATCCTCTTCCAATGCACAATGGAATTCAGGCAATATCAGGAATATCCCCATGGATTCTCCATGGATTTACAGCCTCTGGGGATTCCTGGAAGCTCCACCTGTCTAAGGCCACCAGAAGGTGATGGAAGGATGAGAGGTGGGACAGGAGGGACAACCTTGGAACGCCCATCCCGCGCTTCCGGAGCGGGAAAATCGGCTGCACTCCAACCCCACCATCGGCATCAATTCCCAAAAAACCCAATCAAGAGGAATTCCGGCCTCTGTAAGGCACCAACACCATCCTGCAGCAGCACCCAAGGAGGCTCTCCGGGTTTTCCAACTGGGAAAACTATGGAAGGAACACGCAAGGGGAGGATGGAGCAGATTTTTGGGAAGGAATCCCAGGCTTGGGGTGGGTTTGTGTCTGTTGAGTTTCCATGGGCATGGAAAAAATTCCCCTCTGCTACCTTTGGTATTGGAATTTCTCCTCTGCCATCCATCAGATGGATGGATCCGACCGGAGCGTGCGGATTAAAGCTGGGAAAAAGTCGCTCCAAGATCGGTGAGAAATGAAGGAAAAGCCTCAAAAATTGAAAGCAATAAAAAGATGGAGATGGGTGTTGTCCTTGTGCCTGGGATTTTGGGATTGGGATCAGCTCCACCATGGAATGGAAGCAGTGGGAATTCCCAAAGTCCATCCTTGAGTTCGGGATCAGGCAGCCGGTGGGTTCATGGAATCACGGAATGCTTTGGAGGGAAGGACCTTAAAGCTCATCCCATTCCATAGGGACCTTCCACTGTCCCAGGCTGCTCCAAGCTGGCCTTGGACATTCCAGGGATCGAGAGGCAGCCACAGCTTCTCTGGGAATTCCAGCCCAGGGAGAGCTGGAAAAACCTCTGGGATGGAATTGTTAAAATGCTGGATGGGGTGGAGCAGGAGAAAAATGAAAATTCCCGAATTTTTGAATTTCCTGAGGAACTCCGGACGAGCTCCACATCCCGCTCAGCAATTCCCGAAAATGCCCCCAATGTTCTGGGGAACCTCCCAGATGGAATCCCAAAATCCCACAGAAAACACAGAGCTCCAGGAAAAAGGATCCCCAGCTCTGAGGGGACACCGGTGACGGGGATAAGGATCCCAGCTCCGAGGGAATTCCAGTGACCGGGATAAGGATCCCAGCTCCGAGGGGACACCAGGATTAGGGATCCCAGCTCCGAGGGGACACGGGTGCTGGTGGCCCGGGGCTGTGTGCTCCAGGCTCCCAGTTGTGCTTCCATGATGCCGGGCACGTGTTTTCCATGAAGAAACCCTCCAGCTCCAGGATCTCCGGGCAGAGAACTGGCAAAAAATTCCAACCGCGGATTTTTCATCCCAAAAAAGCGAATCCCTAGGAAACCCTCCCCCCACTTTAAAGCCACAATTCGCACTCCCAGGCTCCGAGTGATTCCCGTGGACGGCGCTCATCCCACGGGATCTGCTCCAACACGGACACAAAATCCCGGTTTAAGAGGCCCTGGATGAGCTCTCCAGGCAGCGACCGCGCTTCCAAGACTTCTATGGCTTCTGCAAACGCTTTCCTTGGAAAAGGCAAAACCAATCCCAACAAAACCCAACCTCAACCTCAACGCGGGAGAGCGTCCCGATCCCAAACCCTCCCCGGAGCAGTTTTAAGGCCCCGCGTTTTTGGGAAGGACCCGTGGAAAACCGCGGGAAGGACGGGGGAAGAGCTCAGTTGTGCTTGGCCCGCCCTCCCCGCAGGTAACTCTTCCACCTCTTGACGAACTCCTTGAAGACGGGCGCGTCGTCGATGGAGCCCAGCAGCTGCAGCTGGTTGATGTGCGTGGTGTGGTAGTCCCAGCGCGCCAGGTTGGGCGCCGTGCCCAGCATGAAGTGCCGCAGGTCGTAGATGGTGCCCGAGCCGGTGTCGAAGAGCGGCAGCATGGCCTTGAGCGACTCCATGCCGCGCTCGTAGAGCAGCCGCGCCTCCTTGCCCAGCTTCTCCCCGGCCGTCTCCTTCAGGTCGTAGAGGCCGATCAGGGAGTACATGAAGCCGTTGAGCACGAAGGAGCTGGGCGTGGTGGGGTACTCCTCGTACCAATCGTGCCGGTTCATGAACACCGCCTTGACGCCGCGCTGCTCCGCCGGCAGCTTGAAGGGCGCCGTGGCCCTGAGCGCCGCGCCCAGGAACGCCGGCTCCTTGGTCAGCTGGTAGGCCCTGACCAGCGTGGACATGGCCTGGCCTTGCGCCATGGCCGAGTACCAGCCCGGATCCAGGGATTTGAAGCCTTCTCCCAACTTCCTGGTGACCATGATGGGCCAGCCGCCGCGCTCGTCCTGGTTGCGCAGCAGCCAGCGGCTGGCGGCGAAGAAGGCGGCCATGTGGGCGGTGGCCGAGATGGTGACGTTGTCCAGGAAGCCGCGGCCTTTGGCCACCAAGCGCAGCACCCTCTTGGGCATGATCTTGGTTTGCTTCACCGCCTTGGTGTTGGAGAGCCCCACGCCCTTGCGGAGATCCGTCAGCAGGTCCCGGGTGAGCGTGCTCCAGCTGCCGCGCGCTCCGATGCCGTAGAAGATGTCCCTGTCCCTGAGGGCGATGAGCTGCGTGCTGGACACGTAGTGCACGGTGAAGAGCTGGTTCCTCTCCGTGGTCTCCAGCACCACGGACACGCTGCCGTTGCTCAGCAGCTTCAGGTCGAAGGAGATGATGAAATCCCGGCCGTTGTTGAGCTCCAGGGAGACGCCCTCGGAGCTTTCTGCAAAAGCAACCCCGAAAAAGGCTCGCTCAGCGTGGAAAGATTCCCGTTTCCAAAGGGTTGGAGCGGATTCCAGAGGCCGTTCCCCGCTCCCGGGAGGGATTCCAAAGCTTTTAGAGCAGCCCTTCAATAATTCAACGTTTCTGGGCTGTTCCACCTGACTGGATTGGGAATGAAGGATAAGGAATGAAAAGGATGGGGAATGGAGGACTGGCAGTGAAGGACAAGGAATGAAAAGGATGGGGAATGGAGGACTGGGAATGAAAAGGATGGGGAATGAAGAACCGAGAATGAAGGATACGGAATGAAGAGGATGGGGAATGGAGGACTGGCAATGAAGGACAAGGAATGAAAAGGATGGGGAATGGAGGACTGGGAACGAAAAGGATGGGGAATGAAGAACCGAGAATGAAGGACTGGGAACGAAGAATTGGAAAGAAAAAGAATGGGGAATAAAAAAGATGGAGAATGAAAAGGATGAAGAGGACAGGAAATTAAGCATAAGGTATGAAAAGGATTGGGAATGAAGGACTGGGAATGAAAGACTGCAATGAAGGATTGGGAATGAAGGACTGGGAATTAAAAGGGTGGGGAACGAAGGATTGGCAGTGAAGGATTGGGAATGAAAAGGACTGGGAACGAAAAGGATTGGGAATTAAGGATTGGAATCAAGGATTGGGAACAAAAGCCAAACAAAACACCAGCACCTAGCAATTCCCATTCCCTGCTCCACCACCCGCTGGAATTCCCACCACCCACCTGGGCAGGAGAACTGCTTGACTCCGGTGAGCCGGGACTTGTCCCAGACGGTGGTGAGGGAGCAGCCCTTGGGCACCGTCCACTCCCCGTTCCCGTTATTCCCGTTGTTCCCGTTATTCCCGTCCCCCGCCGTCTCGTACACCTCCACGTGGGGCGGCTTCTCCGTCAGGTTCTTGCTGTAGTGGCTCAGCCCGTACTGGGCGATCTGGATGGGGTAGAAGTAGCCCTGAGGGCCCCACTGCGTGGAGAGAGGAACTCCTGCCCGGAAAAAAACAGGGAAAAAGCGTTGGAATGAGGGGAAAATTCCTCCTCTGCACCCCAAAATTACGGGAGCTCCATCAGCGGGGTTGGAGGTTAGAGGGAAGTCCCGGGGAAGGAGGGGGTTGGGCCCTTTCCCACTAAAATCCAGAATTCCGTGGTTTTAGCTGGCAGAGGAATCCCTGGCGTGGTCTTCCCGACTTTTATGGAATTGTGGAATGGGCTGGGCGCAAGGGAACCTCAATCCCACCCCATTCCACTCCTTCCAAGGGCAAGGCCACTTCCACAATCCCAGGGTGCTCCATGCTGGCATTGGACATTCCCAGGATGCAGGGGCAGGCACAGCTTCTCTGGGAATTCCAGCCCAGCCAGGAATTCCTTCCCAAAATCCCATCCATCCTTGCCCTCCAGCACTGGGAGCCATTCCCTGTGTCCCATCCCACTCAACTCATCTCTGACGATCCCAAGGCCGGAGGTGCCACCACAAAACCCCATTCCCACATTCCCAGCACCAAATCCAGGTCACTTCCCACTTCCAAACCATTTTAAGGAGCAATTCCAGGAGATTTTTGGGATCATCCCAATCCCACAAAACCTTCTACTCTACTGATGCCCTTGACCCTGTCACAGACCTTGCCAGTGCCACCCCCATTCCCAAATTCCCACCAGAACATCCAGCTCACTCTGCACTTCCAGCACATTTTATGGAGCACTTCCAGGAGATTTTAAGGATCATCCCAACCCAAGGGATTCTTGGGAATGCCCTGCCTTGCACCTTCCATGCTGCTGATGCACTTGACCCTACCCCCATTCCCACCAGAACATCCAGCTCACTCTGCACTCCCAGCACATTTTTGGGCTCATCCCAAGCCCAAAGCTTCCCGGGAATCCGCTGCCTCGCACTTTCCACGCCGCTGATGCACTTGACTGTGTCACCACTCCCATTCCCACATTCCCACCAGAACATCCAGGTCACTCTGCACTTCCAGCACATTTTAAGGACCATCCCAACCCCAAACATTCCCGGGAATCCACTGCCTCCCACCTTCCATGCCACTGATGCACTTGACCCTAGCCACATTCCCACCAGAACATCCAGACCATTCTGCACTTCCAGCACATATTATGGAGCACTTCCAGGAGATTTTAAGGATCATCCCAACCCCTAAAATTCCCCATGGGGAATGCCCAGGCTCATGCCTTCCATGCCACTGATGCACTTGACTGTGTCACCACTCCCATTCCCACCAGAACATCCATCTCACTCTGCACTTCCAGCACATTTTACGGAGCACTTCCAGGAGATTTTAAGGACCATCCCAAGCCCAAAGCTTCCCGGGAATCCGCCGCCTCGCACCTTCCACGCCGCTGATGCACTTGACCCTGTCGCGCAGCTCCACGTTGTAGCCCTCGAAGGACATGAAGACGCCGTCGGGCCGGTACGGAGCGCGCTGGGCGTAGACCTTGGAATAGCTGTGGGAAAACTCGAACCTCTCACCGCCGTCGGCCTGGGCGATCCGCCCGTACACCTGGAAGTACTTCTCCACCCAGCTGAAGGGCAGGAACACCTCGCCGCCCTCGCGCCGCCCCTTCACCGTGTGCTCCTCGTTGATGACACAGTCGATCTCCTCGTAGCGCGGCCCCGCCGCTCTCCCGGCGCTTCCCGCCATTCCCGGCGCGTCCTGGGGCGAGGCCTCCTCGCTGTCGGGAATGCCGGGGCGCTCCGGGGGGCCGGGAGGGGGCCGGGGGCGATGGGAGCAGCGGGTCCAGAGCAGCAGCGAGAGCAGAGCCAGCAGGGAGCAGAGCACCAGGAGAGCCTTGGAGCTGAGGCGGGCCAGGCAGCGCATGGGGCTGCATTCCTGGGAAAAACAACCGGGGAAAACACAGAGAAACGGGATCAGGAGAGGGATTTGGGGTGTTCCTGGTGGGAATGGTCAGGGTGACAGGGCCAGGCAGCGCATGGGGCTGCATTCCTGGGAAAAACAACCGGGGAAAACACAGAGAAACGGGATCAGGAGAAGGATTTGGGGTATTCTGGATGGGAATTGTCAGTACACAGTCCTGAAATCCTGGGAAAAATATGGATAAACGGGAACAGGAGAGGGATTGGGGGTGTTCCTGGTGGGAATGGTCAGGGTGACAGGGCCAGGCAGCACATGGTGCTGCATTCCTGGGAAAAACAACCAGGAAAAACATGGAGAAACGGGATCAGGAGAAGGATTTGGGGTGTTCTGGATGGGAATTGTCAGTACACAGTCCTGAAATCCTGGGAAAAATATGGATAAACGGGATCAGGAGAGGGATTTGGGGTGGGAATGGTGGGAATGGTCAGCACACAGTGCAGAATTCCTGTGAAAACAGGGAAAAACATGGAAAAACGGGATCAGGACGGGGATTTGGGGTGTTCCTGGTGGGAATGGTCAGTACACAGTGCAGAATTCCTGTGAAAACAGGGAAAAACATGGAAAAACGGGATCAGGACGGAGATTTGGGGTGGGAATGGTGGGAATGGTCAGGGCATGGTGCTGCATTCCTGTGAAAACCGGGAATAACATGGAAAAACGGGATCAGGACGGAGATTTGGGGTGTTCCTGGTGGGAATGGTCAGGGTGAGAAGGCACATGGTGCTGCATTCCTGGGAAAACCAAGGAAAACCATGGGAAAACGGGATCAGGAGGGAGGTTTGGGATGTTCCAGCTGGGAATGGCACTCGTGGTGGAACAGTCCTAGGAAAACCATGGAAAAAAGGGGATCAGGACACGGATTTGGGATTTCCTGGATGGGAATGGTGCCCCTGTGCAGGGTCAGTGCCAACATTCCCAGGAATCAGGGAAAAGTGGGATCCAAGCTGGGATGGGAACTCCAGGGATCCCAGCAGAGCCGGGAACAAATGGGAATGGGGAAAAGCAGCTCCGCTCTTACCTCAGGACAAGGGAAATCTGGGAATTCTTGGAATTCTAACGCATCTCGAGCTTCCAGAGGCAAAAATCCCGGGATTTACGGATTCCTCTTGGGATTCCTGCAGGGAAAACCGGGAAAAATGGAGCTGGAGCAGTCCCAGATGGAGCATTTTCTGAGAAATCCTGACATTCCCAGGAAAATCCTCGGAATTCCAGGAAAATCCTCAGATTCCCAGGGAAATCCTGGTATTCCCAGGAAACTCTTCTGATTCCCAAGAAACGCTTCAGAATTCCAGGAAAATCCTCAGGGAATCCCAGGAATTCCAGCTCCCATATTCCCGAATCCCAGAGCCGCGATTCCTGCACTCCACATTCCCCCAGCCCATATCCCGTATTCCCGCACATTCCCAGCCCATATTCCCGCATTCCCAGCCCATATTCCCAAATTCCCACAGCTCCCATTCCCTCGTTCCAGGCTCTGGCAGCAACCCCGAGGCGGCCCGAGCACGCCCAGCCCGGGTAATCCCGCTGCCCTCTCTCTCTCCCGCTCCCGTGATTCCCAGCATTCCCGCCATTCCCATCATTCCCGTTATCCCGGGAATTCCCGGGAATCCCGGCCCGCTCCTCACCTGCGCCCAGGGCCTGGCGGGCGGCGGAACCCCCGCGCGGGGCAGCGGGGGGAGCACGGAGGGGCCGCGCCGGGGCCCCGCCCTCGAGCGCCGCAGCCAATGGGAGCGCGCGGGGGGCGGCGCGAGCTCCGGCCGCCAGCCAATAGGAAAGCGC